TGGGGTCATCAAGAGTCTACAATTATATAACAACTATATAAGACTAGACTAACAAGCCAGCCCAGCCAGGCGAGAGGATTCTAGAGGACCACACTTCCACGTCGTAGGATCGATTCTTTGGTGCTTTGAAGCTGTGCAGCTTCGCCCACCACGTCGCAGGAAGAGCCGCCGCGAGCGGCCAGGCGATCAGAGCTGGAGCTGCGCTCGGCTTTGGGGGGGGAAGACGATGTGAGAGTCCAGATGGCCGGCATCCCATCTGTAGATGATGGCATCCATATAGCATTAGATGTCGGGTGACATCTTAGGATTTCCATGTGACAAAGCGGCACCCTCCGAGACGCAGAGTTCGAGACGCAGAGGAAAAAACGGCATGTCTCTGTTCCACTCGAGGCCTTCAGGGCCTGGACCCAAGGATGCTCACTTTTCTTCAGAAAAGTGGCTCAAGAAACAGATGCTCAGGTGCACATTTTTTTGAATTAGACCCCCCCCTGACTATGTACATGTTCCATCACCACCCGAACCGGGTGCTGCTGGACCAGATGCAGTATGTTGCAGTTCCTCTTGGCTTCATAGTCATTCTTAAATGGGTGGCATGTAGGGAAAACGGCCCCACAGGAGGGACGGGCCAAGACCTGTAATGAGTTAGTTCCGCCAAAACCCCAGGTGTTTTGACACCATTCAAGATCATTCAAGTGCGTTCCATCTGTATAGTATAGATATGTTGTTCCTTGCTTTCAGGGTTGCCCGGCCAGTAGGGTTTTCATGTGTTCAACTCTGAGTTGAGGTTGCCTTGCGGGATTTGGGTCGAAGAATACACGTCCCGAAGAGGGTCACATGGAACCTCTTCGAATTGACCGATGGTGGTGGTGGTTTCGACCCTTCTCCTCTACCAACCGACGTGGTGACCGCAGGTCGATGGGGTCGCTGGGATGCCAGGCGGTGGATCCACCTGAGGCCGCAGTGACGTCGGACGACAGGCTCTTGGAGAAAGAACATCCCTAGAAGTTGACGTGAAAGAGCACTACTAGTGCTCTTTAACGTCAAGATGACTCGAAAAAAAAAAAAGGTACCTGGGTATCGACGTGCCTTGACCAAGCGATGTCAAACGTCTAAATCCGTCTAAAGTGTTTGGAACTCGGGTGGGGGAACTGCCCTTGGCAATCGTGGCCGTTCGCAAAAGAGTTGCCCCCAAATCGAATGGAATGGTCGCCTCTAAGAAGCCTGTTGCCAAGGGCCGAGCCTCCTTGGTACCTTCATAGCATGTACTATATACCCCCGGGCTGAAGTTCGATGTTGACTGGGCTTGTGTGCCTTACGGACATTCCACCTGGAAAAAGCTATAAAACTCCTCCAACTCCACTTCCGCCCCTTCAAAGTTTGGTCTTTTTAACGACCGCTCGTGGGGTTGAGGAGGGCTGCTTGTCGGGATTCCACTCGATTGGTTGGAGGGTAAATCTACGGCGAAGTAGCCTTTTCACCCTCAAAACGATGCGTGTCCTGTCATATTTACCTGGGAAGCCTGGTGTGCTATAAAAATAGCACACTGCTTCACTGTGTCGTGTTTTCGTTCCAAAGAGCGCCACTGCTTTTTGAGCTGTTATGGCTGTGCAGTTCAAGGCTGCTTGACATCCACCAAAAACCATGTCTAAAATACTCATGGGTGTTTGCCACCAATCAAATGTTAGATAAAAACTGCGCATCATTGAGAAAACATATGACGTCATGTCTGGGCAGCCATGGAGCTTTCCCATCGAGTCTTCTTCGAGGACTGGTGGGATGACTGAAGCACAAACTGCAGGCCTCTGGGGCAACAAAGTTACCACCTCGAAGCTAAAGCTATCATGTACCTGCTGAGTGTGCGTTCATGAACGGTCCGTACCGACACCGCACGTGAAAACGCAGCGACCTTGCCGATAAAGTCTTCATCTAATTGAGTGCAAAACGCTAAAGGGGATATGGATGGCAAATTGTGGTGCCTTTCGAAGGCAAGCTGAAACAAGAGTTCCCCAAACATGTGAAATTTGGGTTGATATTTGAACCGTGTCAATCCCCAGTCATAGGCTGCTTGCGCACACTTGGCGAAGCTATTTGAGAACTTGTAGCCTGAATTGAGGAGGGTGTTCCGTTCCTCCTTTGAAAGCCACAAAGAGGAGTGATAGATACATTTCATGAACTTGTTTGCTGCAGAAAGCGCTGACACTATCTCAGCAAAAAACGAGCTGGCGTCGTTGTCCAAAGACTCCAACTCATTCTGCAAGCGGTTCTCCAAGAAGTACATCAATGAAACGGTGTCGGCTCCTTTGAACCAGTTCCTGCGCTCAGTGTCAGAGTTAAAGGTAAGGGTCAACAAGCCAAAGTACATTCTTCCCTGCACAAACAGAAAAAGTTTAAGGTAAAATTCTGGAAAGCTTCCCTGTAGGATACTCAGAGCTCTTGCTGTACCCTAGCAGTGCCCGGGTTAAATGTGTGAGGTGCAGCTGAAGTGAGTGTTCGATGCAAAAGGCTTTCAGTGCTCCAAAACATTGGTCACACGGTTCGTCAAACGACCCACGCCCAAAGATGTCAAAGTCAAAGGAGCAAACCTCAAACCAGGGGCCAAGTGTCGTTCGCAAAGAAGCCAGGTAAGAACAACTGTTGAGCTAGGCAACAAAAAAAATTGCAGGGGTTTGCACACCATGAAGTCCAAAAGGCTATCGCGTTCGCGCAAAGATCTGCAAACAATCCCTTGTGGAGGGTGTGAAACAAGTCGATGCGAAAAAAGTTTGGTTTGTGGCTTTCTTGGATTGGGACGGCAGATAGAAGATCTGGCTCTTGGTGCCATGGCATAGGAGCATCAACTCGCATCTGCAACATGCGGTCATATGACAGGTTGTGCCAATCTTTGTAACCGTCTTTGTCAGCTAGGCACAGGTGACAGATACCGTGTCCTGGCTTCTGCTGAGCTTGGCGCCCAAAGTGTCTGGTGAGTTGGCCAACTTTGGCCAGTGCTGGCCAATCTCCCTTTACAGCTATAGGGACTAAGAAATACTTGCGCACATCGTCACCGACAGCAAGTTCAACACCGTTGAAAAAAGCGTCCCTCAACTCTAGGGAGAGGTTTTTGACCAAGAGTGACAGTGGTTTGCCCTTAGCCTTCCTCGAATTGTACACCCTGCCAAGCATAACGCTGTAAAGTAGCCTCGTCAACAAAGAGTCACCAAGCATGTTGCACCCGGGTTCAGCATCAGAGCTCTTTCTTTTCCGAGTCCCCTTTCCCAGAAGGGGCTGCACAGAGACCACCATAATACTTTTTTTCTTCAATGTGGTACCTTCATCGAAGTGAAGGCAAATGGGTACGCAGGAGCCCGTGCATGAAGCATGGTTTGCAAAGACTGGGTGTTCAGGTTGAAGAAGTTTGAATCGATCCCAGAAAGCTTCAAAAGCAGAAGAACTGTGGCCCATCAAGAACTGACCTTCAAACTTCCCCACGGCAGCAAGAGTTTGCAAAGCATCAGCTACACGTAGAACGGGGTGTTTCTGTTTGAGGCCCACATCGACATCACTAATGGAGATGTCAGCCGACAGGCCATACACAGCCAAATTGCGAGATAGGCGGTTCTCATGACCCGTTGTCGATAGCTTGGTGGCCATACTAAAGAAATGTCCGCTTGGAGGTTCCTTCCCCAAGAACGGTGCAAACTCTTCCCAAACGGCCCGTGCAATAGTACAGGCTTCCTTCTCACTTACCTAAGTTTGCGAGCGAACGAACCTGGAACCCAGAACACAAGTGCCAAATACCAAAAGCTGGAGTGAGAGGGTTGTTGGGTCAAGCAGCCTTTGGGGCTTTCAGTTTATGTACCCTGGTCCTAGACCCCTATCCCTGCAAGATTGGAACGAGGAAGAACCGTTGAAAACAAAATTTATCAAAAACCATGAGGCACTCCCTTCGCCACAGCAGATGCGACGGCTTTAGCCGCAGGACCGCAGCGCAAACTCCTGGCAGCTTTTGGTTGAGGCCTGGAACCTGCGCGGGCGGTTTTCCCAGGATTTATCAGTCTGAGGTTGCTGCTTGTAGGCTGTCATCACTATACATGCACATGTTTTTTTCCCAGCCATCAACTTCTTTCGCACGTCCTGCTGTTTTGCAACAGCGTGCGGTGAGTGGACCACACGCTGAAAGACAATTTATTAAAGCACAATTCCGCCCCATCCAGAAGCAAGGTTCGTGTTTGCAATTGATATTGCAACAGCTAGGGGTGTCCAACAAAAAAGCTTCAGGAAAGGCAGGTTGAATTATTCCCCCGAAGACCCCCGCAGCGGAGACAGCTCACATGGTCACGTACATCCATTGATCGCCATCCAGCCTAGGCGAAAACTGTGGGTATCAGGGCTTCACATAGATTGCAAACAATAATGTGAGACCAGGTTTTGTCTCAGTCCTCGACCATGTTTACTCCTTTCAATGTGCGCACCAGATTTGAAATCTAGGCCTCACGCATTCATGCACTTGACTCTGTCAACCCACCAGGTAAACAAACTATAGCGGGCAGGGATATCCGGCCTTGCCGGCAGACTTCCTCTTCTTTCGCTTGGGCTGCCCCTCAGCCTCGACATCATCCTGCTTGCCAGGGCGAGTTCTGGGGGCACTCGCCTTGGCCTTGCCCTTAGCTTTCGCCTTTGCCTTTGAACTAGTTCCAGGCTCGGATCCGGGCTCGGTTCTCACTGCCTTCAGGACAGTCCTGAAAGATCAAAACGAAACGGGTATCAGGCCGACGGAAAAGAACAAACGTGCTCAGCGCCAAACTTGCGCAGCTTCGTGTCTTCCATCATGGCCCTAGAAGACCTGTCAAGTTAAGCACCAGCAGAACTGACAGGACGCTGAGAGTCTATGTACCTCAGTCCAACAGCTCAGGACTGTACTCCACCTCGACCTTTTGGACAACAGTGCGCAGGCTCTTGACCTTCCTGGGCGGGCTGACAACAAGGGTGTGTTTAGGGGTTGCTGGTTTGGCATCCTACCCTCAACAATCAAGCTTCTCTTGGTCAAAAACATCATCATGATGCTGGCCATCAAAGTATGACTTGAGGTCAGCTAGCTCATCATGGTAGGTCATCAATTTCGTGCGGAATCCCTCGACCTTGTTTTTGCTCCTTAGATTCCATCCATGAGGATAGAAGTCCAAGCCATGCGCACAGTTTCAAGACCTATAGCAAACAAATTCAGCAACTCTGTGCAAAACGGTTTCGCCTTTGCTTCGGGTGAATCCGTGGCTGCAAGCCGGTCCCGGAGCGTTTCCATCCGTGTTTGAACCCGTAGGAGGTTGGTCATCACAGTGCCCACGTTCTCAACAGCCTCACAAACACATTGACATGTGAACCATGATTCAAGTTCACCGTGCATGTGTTTCACTTGTGAATGCCACCCAGCCTCCAAAACAGATTCCCTTTCAACCTGCGCTTTGCCTGGAATCTTGCTCGTACCCGCACTTGCATTCCCATCCTCCAAATCAGGATCGTCAAGATCCGTGTCGGCCCCAGGTTCTGCCTCTTCAGGCAGCATGGCTCCGTCTCCCTCGGCTGGGAGACCAAGGTTGAAAGCTTCTGCGGTCCCTTCACCAACAGTACGATCCACCAAGGACTCCTCATGCTCCTGCTCATATGCCCCAGTGGTTTTCACGTTGACCCAATACTCCTTGATCTTCTTTTCGTAAAGATCGCGCCTGAAACCAACCATGAAGGGGCCGGTTGAAGCTGTTATTGGACCAAATGGACTCAACAAGGTTTGTTTTGTTGCGCTGCGCCCCTATACCACGGAAAGTCACCAAAAACTCAAAACATAAGAAGCCAGGCCTTACATGGGTCTTGACCCTGGAAGGATGAGAACAGTATGCCACAGCTTCCTTGATTCTGTTCCTAGGATTGAAGGGAGACATGCAGGCATGGGAATGAGAAACAGTGTCACACATGGTAGAGACGCAGTATTTAGCATGAAAGGGTTGCATGCATGGAAGGAAGCTGGGACACCAACTTGCTCCATTTGAGTTCCTTTGCCATGGCCTCTTTTGTGTAGAAGCCTCGTTCAACATGAAACTTGTTCTTCCGGGTTCGCTTCTGCAGGTGCTCGATCTTCTTTTTGAAGGCATCCTACCAACATCCCAAGTTGCATGATCCCCTCACCAAGTCAACACAAATGAAAACTGTGTGCTAGATATGAGGGGAGGATAGTAAGCATGTGTAAACTGTGCGTATGGGGCGTACAAGTCCTTGTCACCACCTGATGCGATGAGTGTGTCCAGCAAAGCCCGTCGCTGAACACCACCACACTTCCACTGTCGGTAAATCTCCTGGCTAACCTCAAGCTTACCACTGGCAGGCTTGGGGGTGCAAAGGCGGCGCAGCATAGATTCCAATCTTCTTGTCTCCTGGCAAGGCGCTCGGTGATTCGCTGGGTCTCAAGTTCGACAGCCACACATATAAGATGCACATATTCATATGCATATATATATATGTTGTATATACAAAAATATATCATATCTATAGTTTAGGAATGCATGACGACTCACCGGCCTTCGTATCGGCAAGCCCTGGATCTTCACCCTCATCAGCCTGCGAGTGAGGAACTATACTTTTGAGTGGGGGGTAGCATGGGGCAGCCATGGTAACATGCAAACGCTCATCTCAAGTTTTTTGAAGGTTGGCATGCCTTGTTTTCATTTTTTGAGGAGCCCCACCCCACCTTCACATCCGCTTTGGGTGCAGCCTTGGCTTTTGCTGCACCCTTACCAGCAGTGTCCTGAGGTGTGTCATGCTGACCTACTGCCAAAAATGAGTGAAGAGGCCGGACAAAAGCCCAAGCATGCAAGATGGAGTCCATGCAATGGGTCTACAGGGTGGTGTTGGGAAAACTTCTCTCCTTGTCTTCAAGTGCAGCTTTTCCACCAACAGCTGGAGCGGTGGGAGTCACAGGTGTCATAGCAGGTGTTGGAGAAAGAACTATGGGCACGCTGCTCCCCTTCCCACCAGGCGCCACACCTTTCGCCTCGCTGGCTGATGCAGGCTGTTCATGCTTTTGATCAGCCAAAGTTTGAAGACGTTGTCGGGCAGCCTGAGCCGTGGTACGCACGCGCGTGCGCAAGAGGATGAAAAGCAAGATGCGGTTGGATACACATGAAATATGCAGCAGCCTAGAAACAGCAACAATCTGGTCATATGACATCTTCTTGTTGGCAGCCATTTGCTCTGCCAAGAAGGAGCTCCCACGCAGCAAGGTGCTGCAAGACCATTGCCGTTCAGGGGTCAACATCCTATATAGGATATATCTATAATCACAAAAAAACCCTTGCGTTTCCGCCTTGAGTCCTGGGCGCACAAATAGAATCACATATGCATGCGTGCATAGCAATCCTTGCAGGCCATATCCCTCATTGGTTTGGGATTTGACTTTCACCGCGTGGACCTTTTCCCATACATCTATGTATCTTGGGCGTTCAGAAACGCCACTCGAATTAGCATGAGATCTCAGCTTCAGTGGCCAAGTATTGTACAAGCCACTCGTACGATTCCGAGACCGATTTGAGGCGACCCCAAAAAGCTAGTGAAAGTGTACTATTTTTGGAGTAGGATTCCTACGGTTTTTTACGCCACTTTACTGTGTATTTACGTCACTATCCACAAAAACTGCCACTGTGTACTATTTTTAGATATTTTTCTTGATTCTGCAACTCTCCGCTCAAAGGCCGCGACGGAACCGTTATCGTAAGCTTCGGGGTCAAGTGGCACCCCCATAAAGACTCATGCATGCACGGGTCTAGCCCTCTGCCCTAGGCTGGAACTGAGGGAAGTAGCCTTCCCATCCCTTTGGGACCCTCAGGGAGGATGCTCGGGCCAAGTATTCGATCACCTCTTCCATCTTGGCATCTGCCCATAGGTCGTCAATCTCCGGCTGTGGCATGACGTGGCATGGGAGAAGATGATTTGGGCTGGGGGCCTTGGCGGAACTAGGGTAGTAAAGCTTTGGGGCTCCATTTTGGTAGGGGGCCTGATCTTTGGATCTGATTCTTAGGCTTCCATAGTTCTTGGATTTGAGGAACTTCAACGGGGGAGGGCAAGAACTCTAGTCAGCTACTTGCAGGATACATCTTGGGAACATCAGAAAAGTATAGTATATATACGCTGCAAAGCGACAGGATGAGGACTCAGCAAAGGTGACCTCTCCTTGAGGAAGCGCTTCATTGTTTGTGCGAAGCGGAGCCCAAAGCCAACAGGGTATTCCCTTAATGCATGGAGGAAACAATTGGAAAATTATGAGGGCATGAGAGCATCAGAATGTATGCCATATTGAACTTGAACCCCAAACTGCCTTGAGCTTCGGGCTGGCTTCTGCGCAAAGCTTGGGGAATTCCTTTGTATCTTTTGCGGCCACTCTTGTCATGGTAGACTTCGGCAAGCTTGGGCCCTTTGCCCTTACCTATCGACCTAGCCTTCTTGGATGTGGAAAAGAAACGAACTGCGATGCTGTTCGACCACAAGGTGGTTCGTTTTGGCGTGGTGGCTCCCCACCCTCGCATCCAGAAGGATTGGCGGTAGACCTGGGCTCAAGTTCTATACGTGAATTCATATATTAATGACCCTACCAAGTCCTACCAACAACGAAAGCACGGTTACAAATGCTATTGACTATTACGCATGGAAATATATGCCGCTTAGGCTCACGTGTTTTCCGTACCAATTGATCCTGAAACCGCCGCAACCGGAATGCCAAAGAACTGGATGGCTGCTCCAGTACCCACACGCCTCTCTTCGCCATCACCAAAAGAATAGCGAGGCATGTCCTGGCGAAGCAGTCACCCTTTGCAGGCATAGAGGGTTTGGGCATGTCATGGGGTAGGGGTAGATTGTTTCTACTGCACCACTTAACACCAGCCCCCCAAACATCTAGGGAACGGAAACCCTATCCTTGCTGCGAGCAAATTGCTTCTTGCAACAGATGGGGAAGAGGGATCTCCTTCTGGACGGAAATAGCTTCGATATGTCGAGCCACGTGATATTGCTATGAAGGTTGAGCAAACAAGCCCAAAGTGCACCACCACACCATCTTGGGACTGCAGGATTGCTGCCAGCAACAAACTTAGCTGCATGTGGGAGTTCCACTACGCATGTACAGAATCAAAACAAACACAGAACAAACACAGGCAAACCAAGGTTGAGTCATTTAGCCAAAGAACGCAAACCCTCCAGGAGATAAGAGATCTAATGCATTTCTCTTCGATGTTTTCTTGTTTTGGTATTGGCGGTCTTCCATCCATGGCCCCCAGTAGGAGATGTCTAGGGATGCGGTGTTGAACCCTGCAAGGGTCAGGCACTTGCTCAGGATCCCTGCGCCAGCAAAAACTTCGATAGCTTCATAGACCTGAGGCGGATGATGTGGCACGCATGGTCTTTTACATTTGTCCTTTGAATGTAAAGCTGGCAACAGCTGGCAACATTGGTGCCTGCGCTTTGGGAAGTCCCTCCATCGAGAAAAGGAAGACGATGACCATCAACAAGACCTGACTTGTGCCGATATGGTCATTAAAAACCACCACACGCATGTCATGTGCATTTGTCATTTGCCGCGGGCAGATGAAAAGACTGCCCCGCCTTAGGCGCATCGAGAACCAACAGGCGGTGAAGAATGCATCGCTCTTCGTAGGCCAGATCGTGGTCCATGGTCCGCTACAAGTGGTCCGGAAAACAAAAGCCGAGTGATTCCACCAAACCTTTTTGTGGTGGATCCCGCGCATGTGAGCAAAACTAGCTACAGCAGTGAACGGAGGCCACCAAAGGTTGAAACTGATAAAGCAGACCTGGGCAATCAAACGCGTGTCCTTTCTTTGCCAAACAACTTGCACAATAGGACATGAGAATCAGCAGTGGGGGTGAGGTACCTTTTGAAGTTGTCCAACCGCGTCGGAGCCTCCAGGCTGCGCTCATTCACCTGCCATGCGAGCGGGCTCAGGCTTGGGATAGTCAAATTTGGGATGGGAGCGTGTCTGTGAGAATTTGCATTAAACATGCATGTGTTAATATGGCAAGTTCCTGCGCCAACCCTTTTCTCTTCGGGATCCATCTCTTCAGGCCGTCCCTTACGGCGAATACACATCTCATCTTTGAAAATCCCCATGGCGGTCAAGGCCGGCGGATTCCCTACGCCTAGGCCGCTACCACAATGAGATAACTATAGAGTAAAACAGCTTACAGCTCACTGCGGGGTAGAAAAGACGGTCTCAAACAAAGTTTGCTTTAGCAAAACTTCAATTACAGGTATATGTCAGAACTCCCCCACACATGGACTGCGGCTGTCGCGACTCACCCCATCACACAGCAAGGCTGTCCCTGCCAAGCCAAGAAAAGATGTTGCCGGACTTCGCCGGCAGGCTGTCCACCAATCATGGGACAGCGGTGCCTTGAAGGACAGGAGGGATTATCAAAAAGAAACATGGAAGGGAAAGAGCTTGGAAACTCTCAGAAAACTAAAAGACATTGTATACTCATATCGAGCTGAGTTTCCTGGACCGCGATCCCAAGTTTGATCATGGAGCACTGCCGCGGGCTCGCTTGTTCTTCCGGTTTCCCCCTTCCCCCGCAGACGCTGCACTGGTCAATGCTGCCTGCTGTTCAGCGCGGACCTCCTCGGCCCTGCGCCCCCTGAAACTATCTCTCTGGCATGCTGCGCACCCCCCAAAAATGAAGCGGCAATTGGTGCACCCGTAGTACTGGTCCTCAAGGATGAGGTACACCCAGTTCTTGCCACTCCCAAAGCGTTCTTGCTTGGGTTTCTGGCCCTCCTTCTTGGCCTTGCGACTCTTCGGGGGGCATGGTACCTCAACTCCCTCCTCCATGCGTGCTTTTCCCCCCTTTGCGCGCTTCGGCCCCTTCGGCCCGGGTGCTTTGGAAGCTCCGGAAGGTGTTGCTTTGGCTTTGGGAGTCTTGGACCTCTTTCGAGGTGGGTTCTCAACTTCAGTTTTGGCGTTCTTGCCATCTCTCAGTGTTGATGCACCTGAACCCTTGGTTGGCGACATTTTCTTCAAAAGAGATCGCTTGCTCCTTTTCTTTGCTATCTTGCCCCTTCCCTTTGCCTTTTTGTCTTGAGTCTCACCTTTCCCCTTGCCCTTCTTACCCTTCTTGGGTTTCCGCCCCCTCTTGAGGTTTTTCTTTTGAACGGTACGCATATCAATCTGCATGGCAGGTGTGACTGATGCTGGCAGCGGTGGCTCCACCTGACAGTCCAAAGCTTTTCGTAAAGGTGCTTCAAAGGCTTGTGCATGTACATATGGACTGGAACAGAGGCGTTCAAAAGAATTCAAAAGAAACCAACGTAGCCTTCTCCGGTGTGACCTCCGCAGGCTCTTTAGTCAAAGGGCTTGGGGTGGCAAGGGTTGGCTTGTCATCCACCACCTGATAGAGCTGTGTATCATTGTAGTGCTCCAAGGGCTGGGTCTCCACCTGCGTCAGGGATTCGCTAGGGTAGCTGGAAAACGGAAACACCATTGTGACATAGGTTTTGTTGGCATGAAATTGTTGTTCATGTCTCGAATGTCTTTCCTCCACCGGCCTGCGAAGGATCCACTGCATGACTCTTCGATGGCGCCGGCAAAGCTGGCAAAGCAGTTGGAGGACCTGTGCGAGAAGTTCTCGGAGACATAGAGTGAAGATTCCCCTCAAAGCTTATTCTTTTGCGCCGGGTATGTGTATAGACTTTGAAATGCCAAGAGGCTGGCTGCGGCTGCGACACTTGTTGAATTGGGTCTTGAGCTTGTGGGCGCAGGTCTGGTCTGATGGTCATCCAACCTCGGGGACTTTGAGTAAAACAATCACTGAACAAAGGGAGTATAATTGGGAAGCCAAACGATTATAGACAAAGATCACTGGAGGGCCAGATGCACACAATGACCACCATGTTTGAAACAGCAACTCAGCTTAGGTATGGACGCAGGAGACTTCTGCGCGGGCTTCACGCTCCAGTTCTCAATCTGGTCAAGCAAACCGAGAAGTTCCGCCCTTTGTTCAGGAGTCATCTCATTATTCAAACTCATCCCAGCCAGTTGGCACTCCAGCGCTTTCATGGTAGAGTCTGGACTGCCCATAGGAGAGGCAGCAGCGGAGGAAAGATCAGGGGTTACAGCCCTGGTCAGAGTTGCAGGAGGTGCTGCTTCAACTGGTTCAGGGGCATGAGTGACAGGCTCGGTCGGCGCTGGACACGACGCTGCTGCCTTTGGTGCAATCGCTCTTTCAGAGCCAGCGCCACCGCTCTCTTCATAAGCATCATCATCGCCAGTGACAGGCGCATGGGAATCAAATGTTTGCCAATCCATGCTAAACTCCACACACTCTTTGCGCATTGTCTTGATCTTGGCAAAGAGCTGGCGGACCCTGGCATCCTCTCAGGCAAGACAGGGCTTGCAAGTCTCAAAAGATTAAAAACAAAACATGCATGAACCTGCAGTGCAAAAGAGAAAGCAGCGGTCCCGCGGGTTCTGATCCCTCTTGGCTGCATCCAATTGCCGCCTAAATGAGAAGGTATATAGGCGGCGTAAGTTCCACGCGTCAACATAGGATTCGGTCTTGGCATTTTTGGGCTCATACTTGACCAAGCGATAGAGCTCCCGAACCTGCAAGGGCATCCCCGCACACATGGAGCAAACGCCAACTGCCGCATGCTCACTGGCCGTGCGTGCGCTTGCTTCTGTGTATGTGTTCTCTAAACAAGTGGCAGAAACCCCGGGCATGCCTCCTTTTGAAGTTGATGGATGTCGATGAAGCCTCCATGGTAGAAATCTAGCATGAGATCAATGGCCTCAACATTGAGCTCCAAGCTCTTGGTGCATATAGGGTGGCGATCCTTCTCCTCCTCACCCCCCTCTGTGGCAACCTCCGGCACGACTGGCCATTGAAGCCAAGAGAACTCCTTTCTGAAGCGGTTCCGAATCTTGGTGCAGCTCTCCCAGTCTGCAGCCAAGAGCCCACCGTCGGTTTCAGCCATTGCCACACTAGAAAAACCGGCTAACTAAGCTAGCTCACCCCCAAAAAGTGTTCAGCTCGCAGAACGCAGCTTAATGGTTCAAGTTTGCATGTACGTGCGCATATTCAACAGCTGCGCTGACATCGCAGGAGTGAAGCGTGCAGGGCTGACCATCCAATGCCAAAGAGTGCGGTCCTCAGCCAAGAGAATGGGCTGGTAAACACCAGC